CAACTGCCTTCGTCATCATATCGCGCCCTGCATGCCAATCAATCTCCCCCGATTGCCATGACCTGCAATCAAGATCAGAAAGTGAGAGGCGCACCTTGATCAGTAACTGGTAACGAAGCTTCGGTTTCCCCTCATGCCGCTTCCCAACACTCAGCTGACCATATAATAGCTGCTTCGGAATCCGCGTCGAGTCCATACGACCCACATGACCGAGCCCCCTCAGGTGTCTCAGTAGTAATAGTATGCAGTCCACTGCGCACATTCCACTTCGACGCCACGTTTCCGTGCCCACAACTCTGTCGCATCAACAAATGCGCAGAATCCGTCGCAGACACTGCTGATGGAACCGCTCGAGATATCGCACATCCCGACGGTACATCGTCCACGTTTCACTGCCGTATAGAAGAACGGACAGCATCATAGGTTGTACACCATCAGCTTCGTGCCAGTGGTAAGCTGATGGTTGTTCCACACTCGGTACTCAAGCTTCCCGAATGCCGCCACTGTCTTAGCGACACGAATAAGAGGCTCACTGTGTAGCTGCTGATCAGTCGACACCACACTCCCAAGGTAGCAGAAACGGGAGGTGGTTTCCGACACTTCATTACCAATGCTGATTCGCGGCAATATTGAAGATTGCACCTCCGGTGAAGGCTGAAAGAGACAGACAGTTTTGCTTCTGTTGCTGGTGTGCATTAATTTGGTCGCTGTCGAAGCCAGAGCACTAGTAATGTGCAGAAACTCATCCGCGCTGTGTGCAAACAGCGCACAGTCGTCAGCAAACAGCAACATACGGATAATTGTCTCACAGCTTAGAATTCTCGCACCGAAACGACGGATGTTCAGCAACCCACCATCAATACGGTGCTCCACACGAACACCGTAAGCACAAGCCGCATCAAAATCGCAAGACAGCATTGCATGAAGATATATATTAAACAGGGCAGGAGCTAAGACACAGCCTTGCTTCACAGCATTGACAGCTGCTAAGTCATCCGAGGTCTTTCCACTCAGCTGCACCCTCGCCAGCATACCACTGTGCAGACATTCAATTAAACTTACAAACTTACGCGGGCAACCGAACTTACCCAACACCAACCACAATACCTCGCGGTTCACCGTATCAAATGCCTTGGTGAGATCAACCAAAAGCGAGTACAACGGCTGGTGTCGTTCTCTGCACTTCTACTGCAACTGATGAGCCGCAAACACCATATCTATAGTGCTGCGACCCGAACGGAATCCGCATTGCTCTTCCGTCAGGTTAGGTTCTACAATCTGACTGACGAGACGGTTGAGCAGGATTCGGGCAATCACCTTGCCCACACAACTCAGCAAGTTGATGCTACGATAATTCGTGCAACATTGCTTGCTCCCTTTGCTGTTGTACAGTGGTAGCACAAGGACATCCTTCAGCACTGAGAGGACCTCCTCCTCTATCCATATGTGTTTCACTTAGTGGTGCAGCGCAGTGAACAACGAGGGTCTGTCATGTTTACAATGCCTCAGACGGGATCCCCTCGGCCACGGGATACTTGCCGTTTCGCAGTTGAGCAAGTGCTGTCTGAGTTTCCTCCAGTTTTTGCGTGTCGGCCAGGCTCAACTTCACCTCACGCTGCTTGAGGCTGTTCAATATAGGCCAGTCAATCTCTGAAGCGCAGCTCAAGAGACAATCAAAGTGCTTTTGGCCAGATCTGCATTATGTCTGCAGTCTGTGTGCAGGCAGAGCCGGAACTACCATCGATTAACTTACTCAGCGGCTCCAATCTCGGTCCACGCACCGCCTTTAAGAAGTTAAAGTATTCCTTGTGTTGGCAGCTTTCGACGTAACATTCCTGCTGCTTCGCATTCTCCAACAACCATTAATTTTTAATGCAACGGAACTTTTGCCTCACTCATCGTCGAATTTTGAGAAACTGACTCTTCTTCCCCAAGTCACTGGGGTCTGCCACATGTGCAGCAAATGCTGCATTCTTTTCCGACACCAATGCGCCAATCGTCGCACTGTTGTCATCAAACCAATCGGACCGCTTACAGTTTGCGCGCCCGATGGTCTCCTCGGCAGCAGCTGTCACCTGGTCACGAATGTGGTGCCACAGGTCGCCCACTGTGGCTGTGCATTCCACATCACACAATCGTGCAGCCATTGCCTTCTCTAGGTCAATACGTTTCGCCACAGTACCGAGGGAAAGAATGTTAAATTTACGCCGATTCACGGCGGGAGTGCAATACATAGATTTACGAAAATATATGTACAGTTTGGTCCTCACCAATTTGTGATCAGTGCCAAACTCAGCTCCACGCAGTACACGTGTCATGCGCACTTCACGCATATCACGCTGACGTACGATGACATAGTCGAGCAGGTGAGCGTGACCACTCCGTGGGTGAGTCCAAGTTGCTCTATCACTCGCACTCAGTGCAAATCGAGTGTTCGTGATCGTCAGGCCGTGAGTGGCACACAGTGACAGCAGCCTGTCACCGTTCGCATTCGCTGAACCAATGCCATGCGGACCGATAACATCTATCCAAGCGGATACATCACGCCCAATGTGCGCGTTGAAATCACCCAGCAGAAATAGTCGATCGCTCCTCGGCACAGACCGTATCACGGAGTAAAGCGGGGTGTAGATTCGATCACACATGTCATCAGGATAACACGGTCGCGCCTCACGTGCTTGTAGATGGACAGACTTATCTCATCCGAGTCTTAGGCAAACAGTCATTAGTCGCGCGCTGATGCCTGTTGGTTCACCCACAAGCTGGCCATCTAGGCGATCGGATATTGCAAGTTCAACCCCATGTTCACGTGATGCCGTGATATCGTTGCCCAACCAGTTGTACGTACAGCCGGTACCAGCTTCATGCAGCAAGCCGGGTCTCACTGAGCGCCGCAATATCGATGTTGTACCTCGTCAGTTCCATCGCGACGAGTGCAGTGCGTCGCTGGGGACGCTCACTCGAGTTCCGGTCCGGTAGTGTGCACACGTTCCCGCATCCGATGCTGAGTGCTTTGCACGCAGGCATACGATTGCAATGGTGGGCAATCGCACCCGTAGTGGTGGCGATTGTGCTTCGGAGCCTTTGGCTCAATGCCCTTACCCACAAGGCAGTGGGGAGCAGATCCAGCTCGGGAATGTGATTGCAGAGACAGATTGGGATGTGCTTGACTGCCGTCACACGCAGTCTTTGAGGTACTGGAACGATGTACATATGTTTTGCGACCGTAGTAGGATACACCTGCGACAACGACCAGACGCAGGCGGGTTTTGGCGGGTTGGCACCATTTTGACCAGGGGCTGCCTGGCTTGAGGTGGACAGTAGGAAATTGTTAAGCACCGGAGGTGTCCTCCCACTGTCAGAGAAAATGCGTGGCACTTATGTTCTACGCCAATCGAGCTGTGAGCTTGTAACCCGTAGACCTGTTGTCTTGCATGGCTATGTTTTACGGGTAGAGAGCTATCGACCACATCCTAATCTACGAAGAGGATGGACTAGGATAGTAGAAGGGCGTCCACATCTGACAGGAGAACGACTAAGGTCCTCAGCCAAGTTTTTTGATTAAATGAACACCCGAAAGGCAGCGTGTCTAGCACATGGTCAGTTCACTGACTCATGCGGATTGGTGTCCTGGATCTTAGCAGGGAGAAGCGGGTAACTCAGCTTCCACCCATCGGTTGCCATGAAGAGGCGACCAGGACATGAACCCATGGCACAACAGTAGCAGCTATGGGTAGACTATCTGTCATGATTTAGCCACCACCAGGCTCAGCGAACCATAGGTTCTCCCGCCGTTTGGATTTGGACATGGTTGGCGGTATCCGGTTTCGGATTTGCCTGTCACTGTGGCCAGCCACAGGACGCCTGCGCCGATAGAGCGACCATGGGTGGCTTGCGCTGCACCATCCACAGCTCCAACCACACACCCCATATCCTGTGTAAACCCGAAGGAATAAGACCGGGAGGCATGTGTATGGGAGCCACGTTTCATCAACGGAGCCGGCCCACACTCCTTCACAGGCAAACACAAGCACGCTGTATTTGGGGAATCAAGCGCACACAAGGCGGTGGCTGGACCGTAGTCCGCTTCACACAAGCCGTGTGCATGGAACCACTCTTCGAGCCTAGCACGGCCACAAGGACCGTGCACCCCGTCCCATCCAGCAACGACCAACTGTCTCCTGGAGCCAGTATGAACGAGGTAGTGGGAAATAGACAGGTAGGCACCTTGTCAACATGCACATGAAGCGCAGCCACACCGGGGATATCAAGCAACAGCCAATCACTTGAAACGACAAGATGAAATAAAATAAATCTAATAATGCATACAGATACGGTGGCATAACTCTTCGCTAAATTTGCATATGAAGTAAGTTGGTTAGCAACGAATCCGCGATAAGTAAGAAATGTCCACAAGTTACTTAAAAATGCTACTATCGCAACAAAGTTACCGAAAATAAGCGCAATTAGCGTGAGCAACGTGGCCAGTTAATAGAAGATTATTCAGGGAGGCAGAACAAACCAAATAAAGTGGAATGACGTTTATCCAGCTTAAAGAGACCTAGTTTAAGTGTAAGTTGGTTTAGCCCAAATGCGGTGAAGATGCATCAAGAATGCAACGTCAGCCTCAGCATGGGTTACATGCAACCTACGTATATACATACACACAAATCCAGTATGTTATTGGTTAACTTGCTAAATTTTTGCACAATTATCTACTATACCTGTTTGTATTTCATGATCATACCCTCACAGGTGTATCTCGTAATGTCGGGAACAAAGCATTTATTTATTTATTTATTTATAAATGCCTGTGCATATTATTCATAACTGTCCAATTTCCATGGTAACCTTGCTTTTGGTTAAAAGTTACGGAAGGTTATTTAGACAAGTATAAATCAGAAAAGACACTTCCTATGCAACTACAACGGTTGGCTGGTTTGATAAGGAACCATGTCCACGTAAGATATTCATGAATGCGCATCGATTCGCATTTCCAGGTTCTTGCAAAAGAATACTCGAACGCAGGGGCAATGAAAGTTACTGTACACTATTGAAGGATCATTATTTGGAATGCTTCCTGGACAAAGAGGGAGATCACGTGAAGTATGTGAAAACAAAAGCCGCGCTGGAACCTGGTCAGATGTACTGGTGCAAATCCTGTATTTTGATATTCGAAAAACCATGGTCGCTCTTCCAACACATGGCGGACAAAGCCAAGGGAAGTAAGGTGCAACGATGGGAGAAGAAGATCCATCTGGATTGGATGGATAGTGTTGCTGGACTTATGGCAGGTAACTGCGTACAAGCGTTTGGTTAATTCTGTCATGTTCCTTGCTGGTTTGTACAACTTTTCTTCGAATATTTATTTAGGATACTTTGGCATAGTGAAGTCATAGAATGTGATGTCCACCAGTTAATGTGATGCATTAATTAAAAACATAAGGTGGTTTTAAATTTCTACAGGAATGAATATACGACACACCCCTGCTGCATCAGAACACTGAGTTTTATGTGAACGGAGGGAAGTGTAAAAGTAATGGATGTGTTCGTGGCGCTGCTGGATTTTCAGCCATTCACCTGACGGTTTTCTTTTCTTTCAGGCTATGACCTGGGTCTCTTCAGTCCTGCCAAGTTACGCGTTGACTTGCGTAATCTACTGGCAGACCAACACACAATGGAGGAGGAGATGGAGGCAGCAGCGGTGACAGCGGCAGCTATGATGCAGTGGCTCACACCACTGAGCAGTCCTTGGCGTATACAGCAAAGAGAAATGATGCGGAAGATTGAACAACTCAATCGTCAAATGTTAAGAAAGGCCAACATGGGCTTGGCAGGCCCTGGAGCGGGATACGGTATGAGAGCTGCGCTTACTGGAGCGCAAGTCCCCACGAATTCATCATCGTCGACAAATTATATCAATCCCAACCGCGCAGCATCTGGTTCAGTGCAGACCACACAAGCACCCCCCCGCGTACAGGAACCAGTAGCCAGTGAAATAGTGTCGGAGGGAAGTATGCAACAGTCGTCTTCAAAATATAATGTAATTTCCAAACCTGATGCGAATGGAGTTGCACAAAGTGTTTCCGAAGCAGGTTTCAGGGACCACATCAACGCCGATGACACAGTATGTCAGTCACCTGTCGGGCCGTTGGGAGATGGAAACAATACTGCCGCAGTAGCACCTGAGGAACCAAGGCCACAGCATGAAATACTTGACTCTACTGGGGCAGCTGGTGACACACAAGGAGCCGGAGTGGGAACAGTTCAAACAAAGCCAATGTGTGATTCGGTTGAGGAGTCGGAGGAGCATGACTCAGTGACGACCGTAGTAGATACAAATAACACCAATAGTTCACGTTCTAGGGGAAACAGCACTTCAGCTAGGGGTGACGACGGATGTGGTCGCAGGGTGGAATTCAAGCGCGGGTTTAACAGTGCGCCTGCCTACGGTCATGGAGGAGGCAAAGCTTATAACTCTGTCGGACCGGGCTCGAAGAGTTACAATGATTCGTACAGATATCAAGTGCATTCTCGCGGTTCACGTACACCAGGCTACGGGCCTACTTCGACGTCATTTGGTGCGGGCCCTGGTCCATACGGAACGCACAGGGCTAATTTGCACCGTATCAATCGAATGGGCAACGGGCCGCTTGTGCCGCCAAGCCGAGGAGCGAATACTTTCAACCCACCGAGTTTTCATGCCAGCTTGGATTTCAACTGTGGGTTCACAGATGATGAAGTGGAAGAATTGCTCTCTCAAGGAATTCGACCGTGGGATAGTGAGGCCGCGGCTGCGTTGGCAGTACTTCGAGGAGAATGGGATCATCTGTTGGATTAACCTGAGGAAAGTGCGTACAGTGCACCCTTGCTACTCGTTTGCTTAGTTCCTCTTGTATGTTTTTCAAAGTTTTTTCCTAGTTGAGTGGCCGTATCCATTCAACTTGTTTCCTTGTGTGTGTACATGTGTGCCAATGTTTGGACAAATCCTTTTGTCATCGCATGGCCATTACTGAGTTTAAGGTGTCTGCGCCGTACAGCGTTGCACTCCTCCCTCGACCTCGCCTTGTTGTTCTAAAGTTACCCATCATTCATTGTTTGCAAATGTTTAGAAAGTGGTAAACCAGCTGAGTGGAATTAGAAGACGACGGTGAACACTTCCATTCACTCGATATTCATGAAAGAATTAGCTCTGTCGTTTAGAGAGAGAAAACAGCTTGTCGACCGTTCGTATATCATTTTTGACCAAATTGCCTACCAGACGATTTTCGTCACACATAGGCCCGAAAGCCGCGGGAAGACACAACAACATCCTCTTCTATAGACACATAACAAGGGCACATATCGTGGCCATCATCATTGCCATCTTGGAGTGGATGCATCATGAATAGACAGTCTGTGCCCCTATGATGTCTTTGGTGAGAATTAAAACTGTCTTCCCAAGAGCTAACATCGCTTGGTCGTCCCACACCTGTCCTGCTTCTGGTTTAGGATAGCAGATTAATGTGAGTCTGAGCGAAGGACGACTGCAGCGGCAATTTGTCCTTCTTCCGGATTGTGTCTGATCGTACTACAACTGGGCCTCAAGAGTATAACACCGCGGAAAGAAATGTGGAAAACGGAACTCATAGAACATTTTTGTGCCGGTGCGAAGATATCACAAATCCTAACAACACATTACAGGCTTGAACACCGAGGGATTGCTTCCCGTCATTTCACTGGTTCCGTCGCGTAAAGCATCATCACCTGTATATGTCCTGACTTTTAGCAGGTTCCTTTAATCCGACTTCAGACGTCTCCCACCCGTGTCACTGACTGACACGGAAGACAGTCCATGCCAACTTGAAGCCAAAATTGTCAAAGACCACATCTGCGTTTCTCGCTCTATTATTGACCCAAAGTGGTGCATTGATTACAGCAGCCATCATTTGATCAGTACCGTGACTTGCTCACGCCTGTGTGACGCTCATTCGCCCGTATTGCCTCCTCCGTGTCACTTCCTTCTGTCTTACAATCACCCACGCTATTTCGTCCGTCCTGTGTGTGATTGGTTTTTGCCCATGCGTCCAGGCAACCTATAGAATCAACCGGTTTACTTTCTAACCACATTTAATGATTAAAAGTGTCGTTATTATTCTGTTCGGCGCAGCAAATAAAGTAAAAGCCATGTTCGCTCGAAAATGCGGAAATTGCGCGTTTTTTTTAATAACACCACTCATCTGAGCTTTGGTAACCATCGGGTCTAGGTACGGTAAAGCGTAATGGCAGTAGTACATGCAGAGCATGGCTTAGCGTGACGTATGGTCATGTCGTGCTACACATATTTACGAAACAATAATGCCACGATGGGTTACCGATACCGTAGGGAGTGTTTGACATAGATGAGAATTGAAAATACACAAGAAACATCAGTGAAACTTGTACCTGAATTTCAGATTACTTTTCTATCAAACAAGGTGGCAACACTTGCAAACTCTCACTAAATTTCAGTAGACCATTTTCTTGCAATGCACAGGAGATATTTTAAGTTTACTACATTTTGCACAATCATATAATCGTCCGTAAAGTGAACGCATACTTCTGTACCGTGCTGCTTGCGCAAGCGAGCGTAAGATGTTAAGGGAAGCGTCCATCTGTCTTATAAATAAAGGCAATTAGAAGGCAGGAACAACGATAACTAAGACTAAAGACTAATTTCAACCGGTGTCACAGATGGCAACAATACTGCATTATTTTCCTTCAGTACCTGCCCAATTCATTGGTTGTGTTCTAGACTCGGTAAGTGGTTAGTCACCAACAATTTCTGGCGCCTTAATATGGGACCATCAGGCAGTTACCAGTAGTATCCACTGGGCACTCCGAAAAGTTACGGCATTTACAGACGTGGGAGATAGTAAAGCTCCCCGATATTCAGATTTACCTTCGATTGTGGTGATACTAGTGCGGTGAGTTCGCACTTGCGTCCTGCTTTCTAGGTTCGAATCATTTAACCGGCGTGACGGCACCCTTGAGTATGGTTCGATATGTGGATGATGGTTCTAAGTAAGATACAGACTTATTGGTTGTCCTAAAATGTCACGAACAGATGTGCCTAAGCTGTACAAAAACAATAAGATGGAGTTCCTGGGAAAGAGTCTCCATACTGTATGTTACAACTCTAACCAAGCGGCCCGTTTTACTCACAATTATGACAGTTGCTTCCTTTCAGTAGCCTGAAAAAGTTGTGCTGTTAAATCGACACATGCATTCGTATAGAATGTGTCAGCTGTACGCCGTAACGGCGCTTTGCTGCCGCGCGACCACCACCAGTCGCGCGCGGGCTGGGTATACCGTGAGGATGCCCACCCCTACGAAAATTCGAACCGGTGACCTTATGGTTGCAAAGCAAACGTGCAGACCACTCGGCCAACTGCCAACATAGGTGTAATAATGGGTGCAACTAAACAGGGCTGAAGCGCAAAGTGAATTATGGATTTTCAGCTTTGAATTCCATAGAAACCCAGGGATATGTGATAAAGAGGATTGATTAGTCATGTTGTCTGTCTACAGAAACACATTATGGTCCGACCATTACCTATATTTCTCCAACACTACAAAGGTGTAGTCGAAGCGGAGATATGTGTGAAAGTTTTAGTTTGCCCTGCCAGATGAATTTACTCGGCTGATAGCCCAGCAGGCGAGCTGCAGTTAATTGGGACCATACAGATGAGAAACGGCTACGCTCTACGATGTAAAGAAAACCTGTACCGACTACAAATGAAGGATATCTTGATGCACACAGCAACCAACAAACAACAGTAGCGATACAACTATAATGAATTAGGAAATGCTGAATACCAAAAATAGAAAGCATGTGGAACTGATGTAGAACCTAGGTGTCCTAAGCAAAACGTCAAGGTAAAGACGCCCTAAATGCATCAACCAGGTTTTATCTCCTAACTGTGCATTACAAAGTATCAATCCTTGAACAGTGGTGCATTAAGGGTAGGAAAGCACGTGCTTAATAAATCCCGTGGGCTGGCTAAAATTTGAAGCAAAACTAGAAGGAGAAAAGATGGTGATAAAATCGGCGTTCTTGTGGACTCACCGCGTTGTCCACATGGTGGCATGCGTACACGAGTCCACCTTGATGGTGTTGGGAAATGTTGGTTTGTGCATGGTTTGTCAAGTCATATGCTCTTCCAATGTACACCAGCTAAATTTTATAATGCAGATGAGTTAAAACAACGTTAATGTGTGAGCGGAAACGAGGTACTTAGGGAAGTGGTTCCATGACTTCCAAGCACGAAGAATAAATGTTCCGACAAAATCCTAGACAGATGTACTGTGTAACCAACTTGTACTGGTGGTCCCTCATGTTTCCGTTGTGACTAGGTTGTAGTATGTGACGACAGACATGACTGGTGTCCCTCAAAATTTGGTAGTCATAATTAAGTCATCAGTAAGCACCAATACGGAACCACTGTACAATGAACAAGAAGTTTACACGGGTTAACAAGCACTGCTGTACAAAACACGATGGGTCGACTGGTGGGTTATCAAAAAAACTTAATGCTAAAAGTAATAATAATAATCGTACTTTGTAGTTCCACTATATAAACAATGGAACAATAGTTTATTACGGGTAAAGGCATCGCTTAACAAGTCCCGTGGGATAGAAATTATTGTGATAAGTGAATTGCATAATAAAGTGAAAAGCATTCTGATTGACTCACCATGGACTTATATATCATAGCGAAGATGTTCGCGTATTAAACGTATAAATCCATAAATCCATTGCTTAGACGTTTGGAAAGACTCCGTTTGATTGCGTTTTGTAGCCCCTGGCTAACAATTCATAAAATGAAATGTAAATGAGAAAATGTATCGTCAACTCATTTTTTAAATATCACCTGACTGGGAGCAGAGAAGATGTAATTAGGGAGGACGTTCCAAGGCTGGCACACGCGGACGGAAAAGAAATTTCTACGGCATTCAAGCCGGCTATACTGAGTTGTCAGTTTCAGAGGGTGCCTTCTTAGGTTAGGGTTGTGGTTCAGTTCCAGCAGCGGACGGCAAATGTGGTTTGGGTTCTTCAGAATTTTGTAAACCATTATGAGATCCCCCGGCAAAAGCCGATGTCGGCTGCTGTAAATTCTTAGAGATTTCAGTCTAAGCTAATAGGGCAGATGAAAGAGGCCCCTAACCTTTTTGATTGCTCTTCGTTGGGGAGTCTCGAGAGCAACAAGATCCTGTTTCTGCCACGGCTGTCATGCCTGAATAGCGGTCGCAGGTAGGTGTTAAGCATTTGGGGAAAGATTGAGGGTTCAGACCGACCGAAAGCTCTGCGAAGAAGGCCGAAGTGTTGACTGCCGGTTCTCGTCGCCTTCTCTGCTTGTTTGGAACACCCCAGATCTTCCTGTACCAGTACACCCAGTTCCAAGGTGTGGCCTCAAAGCTTGTAAGCGCTCACCGGCTGGTGACGTAGATGTATCACCTTGCACTTAGCTATGTTCAATTGAAGCTTGTTCCTCTTTGACCATTCATAACTGCAATCTAGGTCATGTTGGAACAGACGGTGATCTGGCTTGTTACTAATCGTCCGCCATATCTTGACGTCATCTGCGAAAAGCAGGAAATTTGAGGAGATGACTCTTGCCAGATCGCTGATAAACACCAGGAATAAGCGCGGGTCCCAGCTCTGAGCCATATGAGACACCACATTCCACCTCAATCGGGTTAGAGAGTGATCCCCTAACACGCAACTGAAGCTTCCGTTGGTGAAGGAAGCTGCCAATCCAAACAAGTACAGGATCTCCGATTCTGTAGCTCTGTGACCGGTGACGTAGTATGCGGGCATCAAGGCGATCGAAAGCTTTGGAGAAGTCCAGCTAGATGACGTCAACTCGGACCCTATCATCAGCCATGTCTGTCCAACTACCTCGAACAATCAGTAGGTTGGTGGTGCATGACCGGTGTTGACGGAAGCCATGCTGCCCCGGTACTAAGATGTTGCATTTTTCCAGGTGGTCCATTAAAGCCTCAGCGACAACTGCTTCCATCACCTTCGCGAGCACAGGGAGGAGAGTCATTGGACGATAGTTCGCAGGATCGGAACGGCTACCGCCTTTAAAAATAGGGGTTATAATGCCACACTTCCACATAGTGGGGACTTGTTGTTCATCAAAGCAGCTTTGGAAGAACTGTGACAGTGGTTCAGCTAGCTTGTTGGCCACAGCCTTCAATGCCTTCTGGTGGATGTTGTCTACTCCCGGAGAACTATGCTGTCGCAGTGAGAGCAACTTTCTTATCACCATTGATGGGTTGAAAAGTAGATGTGGAAACAGTGGAGTCGGTAATGTGCATGAAATTATGGGACATTATGGGCTTATTGTATGTAATGCAGTAGCCTTGTGCTCCGGATGTTTTGATAGCTTCAGTAGGCTAAAAATATTAAATCCAAGGTATTTCCCAGGAGTATGATGGGGAGTAGTGCCAAGTAAAAAAATGCAAATGCGGAGTGTGTCATCCAACTGACTTTTAACTATTGTTAGCGTGGGTGCAGAAACAACTGATTCCGGAAGAGCTTTCCATGGTTGACAAGCGAATAGAAAAAAATTTCTACGTCACTCCAGAGCTGGACTGTTCCGCTGATTTCAAGGCGTGGAATCTGTTTGATATCACTGCTGCGTTGCAGTAAAGAGCAGCACACATGAGTTGGATTTCGTAAAATCATGCATGCCATAATCAAATCGCCACGTAATCCGCGATACCGCCCACCGAATACTCCCAAACCTTTCTTCCTCTGCTCATATGGAAGGTAGCGCATTCCAATGACGTTTTTGGAAGTGCGGCTTTGAGGCTGGTCCACTGCAGTTAGGTCGTGCTTCAGCCATGGTTTCCAGGCTTGGACTGGGTATTCGACAAGGAGGGTGAACATACGTACTGAGCGTCTGCCTGAATTTAGAAGTGTCTATTTGTCCGAAGATCCGTCGTAGCAAGCCAATGTGTTGATTAGTAGTGTTTGAGGGCTGCAGATTACTTGGAACAACAAAAATTATCCTGTGCCAGTACAACAAGATCAACTTCGACGGATGGCTGCTGCAGCACTAGCATTTCTAGCTTGTATGAATAGGTACTCTGGTGTCGTATGGAGAGTAACGCATTTGCACAAGTTGGACTGTGACAGATTTCAGGTTGACCACT